TGGGACAAATCTACTGCTATGTTATTGCTGTAACCCCAAGACATTGATGTTTACACGACTTTATATTACAAAGCATACGAGAATTTGTATGTACCATGCCAGGGCAACGCAACCTTTTACAGTCTCAGTTGCTCGTATGACTGCAAAAAGTTCAAACGGTCCATCCCCGAATGATCATGCTCGCAGGAATAAATATCTGGTGCCATGCACGTTGTGCATTGACATTTTGTTGAAGTAGCATGAACCTTGTGATATACTATATCTCGTCTAGTTAGAGAGTTTACTTTCTATTTACTTCATTTGAATATTCAATACGTACACTTAGTTTCTGGCATACTTGAATTACTGAAAGTTTATAAATGACTTGTGCCAATTCGTATGTACCTAAAACATATTTTGCTCGATATTTTTGTGCAATTCAGGCAATTGCAAGTTATCTGACAAAAAGTTTTCAAATACTCCTTTCACAAGACAACAACGCGTAAATAACATATGTCATAAATGTCCGATTTTGAATCCTTATTCAAGTTCTCAAGTTTTGCAAAAGTTCAGTGAGAATGGGAATATTTCGAAATCTCAATTTTGATCAAGCAATGATTGAGCTGAACCCCATTTGACGTTCTCGAATGAAAGAAAATTATGAGAAGAGTTCTATAAGATTGTTTGGTGCTGAATCCAAACGTTCAAAATCGAATCGTACATTGAGGAGCAAAGTGTGAGTTATAGCAGGACTGGGTGAAAGCTAGAGGTTTAAATTTTCGTCTTTAAACATTGCAAGATAGAATTTAAAGTTTCCATTGACAGTTGTTCAAAGAAAAATACAACATGTATGTACATTGCACATTTTCTGCAATTAAATCCTGATCGATTTGGTAGTGAAAGCTTTAATTTTCTCTACTAACTTTTTCTAAACGGCACAATAAAATGTACAGATAGCGATGAAAATTAACGAACTTCATTACTTAATTAGCAGTTAATGGCAACTTTAAGCGGTATACAATTAAGTACCGACGCTTCGGTAGTTTGTGGATACCACAGAAGATCTGCAAATTGCCCCCATTGGCGATATCTAGTGTTGAAACGCGACAAATCAGAATTTATTAATCGGTGCGCGAGAAAACTGAAATCTTCATGAAATTTTATCAAGAAAGATTAAATCAACGCGTGTATCTGCGGGTATTAAAATTTTTTCTTTCTTTACGGATGAATATTTCGACATATCCGCTCCACAGAATTTGTTAATCGGTGCGCGAGTAAACTGAGATCTCCATGAAGTATTATCAGAAAAGATTAAATCGACGCATACATCTGCAGGTAGTAAAAAACATTTTTTCTTTACGGATGAATAAATCGACATATCCGCTCCAAAGTTCTTAAACACATTTTAAAATAATAAATTTTCGATTTCAGTCTAAAACTATTACTGGAGTTCATGAAGATGGTAAATATTGTATATTATTTTGAGGCATACACTTCATTACAGTCTTCTCTTTCGAATTTGATTAACATTTACGCCTTTGTGCGTTGGTGCCTATCGGAATCCATCTAGTTTTTAGAGAATATAATGGAAAACTGTTTTAAAAAAACATTTTAGAAAATATATTTAGAGGAATAACATTTATTAATTTTTAAATATAAGTTTACAAAATGTTCCCAATTTATCATCCACTCTTTTACTATGTAATATGCAAAAATCTGAGTCAAAATCTCACGTGACCTATCTGAAGTATTCTTCAATAATCGATTGACGCGAGCGGAAGATGCAAAGTCATCGTGTCAGACTCCGTGTGATTATGTATGACAATGACGTTGAATAAATGTAAAAAAAAAATATGAATTGGATGATATCTCATACTCTGAGCGAATTTAATTCAGGAAATAAACATAATATGATGCAAGTCATGGGAAAGAGTCTGATTAAGTCAGATATGCATTAAGATTAGTCACGCCCTGATTATTGTGATATGCCTATATTAGATTTGAGAGCGTGTTGAATAGATTCGACAATGAATGAAAAGTTGGTATAAATTTGGATATATAAATAGAAAAAATACAGTCTTTTATACCAGTTAGAGGGAATTACAACGGATAAACACTGCATCACGTGTTATAAACACAATGGAAGTTACAGTGAACCAGCAACCAAGCAAACATGCCTCCTGGATCGAGAAATGTTTGGATCAAGAGGAAACTTCAATGGAAGTATTTCACAATGTGACCAATGCAACGCACTTCGGATCCTGGCATTAAGCAAAACGACTGATTTTGCTTCCTAGTGCTTCTGGTAAAATATCAATTTAATGGCGATAATACGTATTTCAACTTCATTTTAATGTCTCTATTTGCTTATTGCAATGTTACTACTTCTACGATAACAACCAGAGTCGGCGACGCTTTTGCTACATCAAATCAATAGATTGGTGTGGATGGACGAAGCGTTGCATACTCCTAGCAGTCATCTTGCAAATAGTGGCGAGTGCGTGTAGTAACGTTACCCTGGTATTTGATTATTGGAAGTTTGAGCACTGCACAACCCCAAAAATCCTTGTTACTATTCTTGGAATTTCAACAAACACTGCAGTTCTTACATCATTGTGGTGCAGACAGAGAATGGTGTACTGTGCTCCGCTTTTGCGTAAATTAACAAACAGAATAACGAGACGTCTTAGCATCGTCGGGGGAACGTTGACAGTAATATACCCTATTCTCATAGCGCCTTTAATTCTGTCAATGGGATCCTCAAAGAAATGCCTCAACAATTATCTACATACGGGAGCTAGAAGAATTATACTAACAGTAGCCTTTGTGAGAATTTTCGAAAACATCATTCTTCTTGGTTTGTTTTTCTATCCATTATTACGCTATAGAAAAGAAAGAAAAGAGGGAGAGGCCGGAAGCAGTGCGTTATCATATGCGGTACCTCTGATAAAGCGATCGTTCTTTGTATCCGTGGTATTTTTTGTTGTAAAGGTGATGGTAACGTTGCTCAATTATTCGATGGTTTACGAATGGTATGATTTCCCAGCTGTTGCACTGACCAATCAAACCATTAAAGTGTTTGGATCAGTGCTATCGTTTTCAGAGTGGAAAACTATTCTACTACCATGGAAAAAGTGCGAAGGCGACGGGACGCATGAAGATTGCAATATGGCGACACTCGTCGAAGCAACTGCCGTAAAAGATACCAACTGTGATACGTCATTAACTGACGTCAGCATCGCTTAGCGCAGCGGTTCCCGAACTTTTTGTTCGTGCGGAGCCACAAAAACTCACCGCGCTCTTACATGAAAAAATGCTGCTTTTAAATAAAACTCAATTTCGTGATCGTTAATTTGTACTTTATGCCCTCCAAAGTTTGTAAACACGTAGGCCTAAGGAACAAAGGAAAAAGATCAACTCTTTTTGAATTTCCTTTGAAATGCTAATCAAAATAAACTTGCAGCCCATGAAATTGCAGAAAATAGTGTCTACCTCTATTGTTACGTAGATGCAGACGCTAAGTAACAGAAAGTAAACGACATAGAAAGGTAAAATAATTTGATTGATTACTATTGATTCATTCAGTAATTGATTCATATACACAGCATTTAAAATAAGAAACGATTGAACATTTATAATGAATACAATATCCAAAATATTCAATCATATTTTAGTTATGTTCTACAGTTACACAATTCTGTTAATTGTCGCGGCGCACTTAGCAACTCGCGGCGGCGCGCCCTTCGGGAACCGCTGGCTCAGCGAATTGATTTTCAGTCGCTGATTCGTGAACGACATCTAAGTGCTACGCCTCAAATTGTTATCAGTAGAGTTGCGCGAAACTAACTCCCAATCCCAATTAATTGTGACCAAACAATGAAAAAAATATTGATATTCAGAAACAGATTGCGACATAAAAAAATACGATCGGTTCTCGGCATGGAATAGTTTGAAAAACTTTCATTCTTATTGTCGTTTTTTGCAGCCATTGAACTTGGTGACTTTTTAAACTCAAGTCATAAGCTTATTGGTCTCTTTGCTACCTTTTTCTATGCCAAAAGTGATCAGTTAATCGGATCTTCTATTTTCGAGAAATCTGACGTGTTTTCTTTTGGTGTTCCGCAAGCAATTTATAATATAAAAAATGTTTCTTTACCAAAAAAGGTTGAATATCACTGGTAATATTCGTGGTAAAACGTGTGCTGAATTTTCCTTCATAGAACGGAGTGTATCAATACCGAGCGATGTATAAGACATATTTGCAGACTAGTCACAGACAAAGTTTGGACTACCTGGGGTCATAGTTTCAAGTGCAGGACAAAATTGTCAAAAAACCTTAATTTTAGAATTAACTTTTGGTCCTAAAGGCATTAATTTAACCCAAAATTCTGAACACACCCTCAGATCACCAAGTTTCCTGATGTTAATAGAAAAATCATTGCATTCGCATAGATTGGATGACTGAGAAGGGGCAAACTTACTGGTGATTAAGGCAAACGGAGGGGATGAGTTCAGCAAATCTCTCACACATAATTATTGCACAAGCGACTCAACTGTCAATAAATAAAAAATACAATCAATATATGATATCTAGAACCATACGCGCAGCCAATAATTTTCAACATTTTTTAAATGCAATTTTGCGGCATTATTAAATCATTCGCCTTTTTGCGCTATTTTTGAACGATGAAAACCGGACGTTTCCTGGCTTGCTATCAATAATCCCTTCACCAAATAAACCAAACGAGATATAGATCAAAATGCGCGCTTATATTCCTCGGACAACTTGGACAGCGAAGTACGTCTGTAGAGCGATTCTTTAAGATATTGTTAAATATCAATGGCCACTTCAATCTGGCTTTGTTCTGAGCAAAAGGCACGAGTAAGCGTCGTATTAAGTCAATATACAAAAAAAAAATGCCCCCCCCATCATCAATTTTGTGATGGCTACCTTACGCTCTTGACTAAAACTCCCAATTGCTCAAATTTTTCAGCCTCTCAAATAACAATTGTAACACAAATTTTGTCATTTACATTTTGCCGGAGAAAGACTTTTCATTTCAACATAAACAAAATTAACTGCCATGAGTCAAAATATCCATTATTCAGTCAAGTATAAATAATAATAAATATAAACAATAATATTGTTCAAAACTATTTTATCTTCAGAGACAATTAAATTACAAAAAATTATCTTAAACGATAACTTAATCGAATCAAATAAAGAGCTTTTAATCATTACTTAAAATTATGAAATAATTAATTATAAGGTCTGAGCCCTAAAGTATACAATAGGTTGTTGGCAACCCATGCTCAAGATGTATCTAACATTTCTGAAACCGGTAAAGAATTGAAAATATATAATTCATTTTTGAGCATTCATATTGCATAAAACAGGAAATCACCTAAAGGCAGTTCCAACAAACATACTAGATGACAATTGTTTGTTGACAAAAAAAGAATTCATATTAAACAGAGCGCTTCCGGTTTTATTTCCTTCACTCCCATTATTTTCACTTAGAGTTTCCTTAGAGGAAATTTTGTCTCAAAAAATATGACAAATTTAAATTTCATATACCAGAAGGATTTAATATGTTTAAAAATTATTCAGAAACGGAAATTATTATTCAGAAAAAGATCATCTTTTAACAAGGGATTGGAAAGATAAATATAAATGAATGTGGTTTCAATTTATGTTTTTTTAAAAGCTGAAATCAAGCTCTGAATGGCATAGCTGAAAAAGAAGTATTCTTGGTTAAAGCGCACATGTTTTTACCCATAATAATATTTTTACTGAAATTGTTATAAACTATATTAGGACTTCTGTGTTATTTCATAATCACAATGTAAATAATTTACGACCGACATTGAGCGTAGTTACACTATCTTCAATATAAATACATGGCAACATCATAAAAAAAATATAAATAGTGCATACACTATTTTTCATTTACATAAAAATTCAAGTTTTAAAAAGAGTGGCCCAGATTGCCAAGCAGAGGTGTGCATGGCACATCACTCTGATTTATGTTTGCTAACACTATTACAAAGTCACAACAGCCATCTTTCAATAACTGGAAAATTTCAGCATACCTTCCACTAAGAAAAAAGTGAAGTGTTACTATTTGTTACTTAGGAATGAAATCTCAATCAAAAAATACGTCATGGCGATCAAAATCAACCGATGCAAAAAGCTCAAACAGTACACACAAATATCTATCAATCTCAAGATTTGCAACTTGGCACAGGAATTCGAGGCAGCATATGTACGATTTATAACTATCAGTATCATGACATTGCCATAAATTTTATCCAATGCCATAATGCAATGATTACCACCCACTCATGGCCACTTTTTCACAAAATACTGCTAGAAAACAGCTTAAAATAAACAAAATTAGCCTGAATTGACTACTTGCTAGTACATGGGATTGTTTCTGAATTTGAAGATATGCTATAACTAGAGGTCATGAATGTAGCAATCGGATCAAGCAAGACCGAGCAATCTCTGCTGGTTGGATTGTCTTGCGAGCATGATTTGGCTAGTGTAGTGCCAAACATGGGCCTAGTAGCTTGTTGTGGCAGATCGGTTGGGTTAGGTATAGACTGCGCTAGGGACTCTATTGTGCTGTGATGGTGTATATTATCATTGTGCATAAAGGGAGAAAATTGTTCATAAGGAACGACTGTGCTGTGAGGTATTTCGGCAGAATTTTCAATCAAAATATCAGTGAGAGTAGTACTTGTTATGTTTGCAGATACTTCCGTCGTTGGCCCATATGAAAAGTGAGTCAAATCAATTTTACTTAGACCAAGGGCATTCAAAAACTCGAAAGACGGCGATTTGTTCTTTTCAGGGCCACTCGTAGGATTATTGTAGTCGGAATTATTAGAGACGGTCCTGTCACTACTTTTTATACAAACACACGTCTCAGCATCCTCAAATTTGATGTGTGTTCGCTGATGCATGCCTAGTACTTCATCAGATTGATCAGTTTCATCTGAAGACAGAAAATCGCACTCAGACTCGCTGCTCGCCACAGACTCCAGTTCATTTCCTGTTTGGCAGTCAGAAACCTCCACTTGAGATCCTGTTTTTTAATAACACATAAAAATTATTAATTTGCATTTAATGATTATAGTTTTCAAAGAGCACTAGCAGGAATACCAGCATGCCAACAGACTTCAGCACTAGCGTCTCTAGCACATTCAAATTTCAAAAAATAAAAACATATGAACTGTGCTGTATTTTCATACGTTCTGGACAAGGCTCTACACAAGCAGCCGCCGATATGTAAGGAGCTCCTGTATTTTAGAGTGGCGGGAATCTTTCTGGTTCAGGATTGCCTACCCAATTTATTACACCCTGGGTTAGGTGGTGAACATGATACTTGAAAATGAGATTTTAACCCACGATAGCACCCTAGTTAAGTCTAACGCTTTACCACTAGGCAACTGTGCCCACAAATATATAACAGACTAAGTATCATACATTCGAAATATATATTTTGGAATACCATTTCTGCTTTAGACAATCGGTCTGAGTAATTTAATAATAGAGATTCAATCTTATAAATCTCCAGCTTACCATCTTGTACAGTGCTAAGTCTTTCCATAGTTTCCAACAAATGAGTTCTCACTCCATCCGAATCGAATTCTATTCTTCCGTTCTCATTTTGGCACTGTGACGCTGCACAACCACAAGGAAAGCCTTCTCGATCAACCTAGCCAAATCAAATAGCATATACATATATAAAAAGGTTGGAATTCAGTAATTCACTTGGCATTGCAGAAAATGTTAAACATCCAAAATAGTTGTTAAATTTAGGAATATATTATACCAAATATAACAATTTTTCAGTGTATTCATTTCCTTCATGTGTGGCATAAAAATAACAATCAGTCCAGCGCTGTTAGGACATCTATATAAAGTACTACTTTTATACCTATTTAATAAAACCACACTGAAGCATGATTTATGTATAAAAATGTGTATAAAAATTGCTGAAACTGATGAACAGGAAACAAGAGACTAGAGCAATGCTCAAATATCAGGACGGTTGTGCATCGCTACCATATTTACTGAAAAGATCGTCAGAAAAGCAATAAGAAATAAAAATGCTCCTCTTTAATTATTATAAAACAGCAAAAATATTTGTGAAATATTGGGTCCCACAGGACTTGGACGAAATTTGAAAAAAATTAAACTAATAGCCTTCTAGCGACTTCCTCCATCTTCGAGTACTGAAATTTAAAATTTATTGGTTCATTAATCTTTCTTGTAAGTCCGCTTTGTGTATGAAAACCCATTGTGGACAAAATTTGGAATATCAAAATATTTCAATGTGAAAATCCATTTTCTTTTTAAAATTATTCAAAATTTAATAAAACTCTTCTAATGAGCTCAAATGTTCAAATCACGCTGCTCTATCGAAATGACGCTCCTTTGGGGGTTGCCCAAACCTCACATACGACGTAAGGGATCTAGTACACTCCTTTTAAGTGAAAGAATCCTTCAATAATAATTGCAAGATCAAATTTGGAGCTAAGAAGCAGAATATCAAAAGCAACACTGATCTTAATATACTGTAAAAAGAATAATTTACATACTTGGCATTGAATTCCCGATAGCACGCATTCGCATGATTCCGGCATACAGACCATTTCACAAGCGCATCCACACATTTCACGAGATTCCCTCAATATTCTGTTCATTAGTTTTTCTTCTCCATCTATTCTTTCAACACCAGATGCCCTGGAAAAGGAATTTATGTAAAAATTCTCAAGGAGGGACCAAGGTCTAGTCTAGCATAACTTAAATATATATGAACACTGCGGGCATTCGAAGATGTGCGATGTGCCTGTTAATTTATTAAAATCCAGCAAAATTTGGGGTAAAAAATGGGGAAACCGATGGAAAATAATAAAGAAAAAAAAGGCTTCTAGCGACTTTTTTCATCTTCAAGTAGTTTACATGTAAACTAGAAATCGATCGGTCTATACGTTGTGAAGGGAAGCAATTTTCAACAACCATTTAGCAAATTAAACCATTTGTGTTCAAAACATTCATTCCAAGGTAAAAGACAAAGTGATTTTAATTGATGACAACACTTTAAGTAAATGTTTGAGATTTTCTATTGTCGCAGATACTTTTTGGTTTTGTCAAATGAGTCACATACATCTTTTATTGCAACAACTACAACACAGGTTATTTTACTAATTTACATCAATCTTGAAATGAAAACAGATCTTATGCTTTATGTAAAGTGAAATGAATGGTTTAGAACTTTGCACTAATGCATTTTAAATCAAAGAAAACTGCATACCTTTTGGAAATTATCATTTATATCAAGTGTACATTCGATGGGCTTTCTGCTGCTCTATATCTAAGACAACTCTTGAAATTTGTGATTGTGTTTTGCAGAGTGTGAGTTATATATTATCTTTGGCATTATGCTTGGCATGCTTGATGCTTGCAGTTACGACTTCAGCATAATTAATAACTGGGTGTGTTTAATTATAATAATTCATACCTGAGAATTTTTCTTCTTTTCTTAGCAGAAATTGGCTGGAGAAAAAAAAATTCATCAAAGTTATCCAGAACTGAATCATCTTCAGATGCCATTGAACTCGATTCATTTTTTCCGACAGCATTTTGAGCCATTGACGAAAGTGTCCCATTGTCCAAATCAGGATTCAAAAATTTCAGCTGTAAAATAAAATTTGCAAGTTAATAAATTTTTTCAACACATTCATTAGGATTCCATTCAAACTTCATAACTATATATTACTCTGCCAAGTGCGGCCTGAGACTGACACCAGTGTTGGGTAAATGCCCCTGCACCCTAAATCCTGACTGGCGAGGCAACAGGTCATCCGAGTTAAGTCTTACTGACGATTAGTTGATGACGAATCCGAGTCATCCCATTTAAATGACTTCGAGTCTTCGACAAATGGTGACTCTAGTTCAGCAGGGATGTGCAAATTTCGGCACACGGCCCAAATCCGGCCGTGTTTCCATCGAAGTGTTTCATCGGGCCCACTTGCTTACCACTGTGTTTTCACGGATATGAATTTTCGTTGAAAATTCTGATGAAAATAACAAATCGCTGGCTAAGTTCCCTGTGTATTATCCGCACTTTAATATAATGTGCAAAACGAGCCACATATACCTCAAACTCACCCACTCGAATTATTCACGTCACCCTAGCGTCTCTGCCAAAAATAGCGCTTGAGAATAGCGTTCCGGCCTTCAAATTACAGAGTTTTGTATCTAAGGCCCAGTAAACAAGTCAACAACTTGAGCCTACCAACTCTGATTACTTGGCACAGTGATCGAAGCTTGTACTAAATTAACCCACTATAGAATGCCGATTATTTTACTGATTTACGTCACGATTGGACTTTGAAAATTTCTGATATAAAGTCTTATAAGAGGGGAAATATAATGATTCTCTCGATTCGGTATGTTAAGGAATGAAAGATAAAAAAAAATTTTCTAATCTCTGACCCCGAATATATAGTACTGGTATACAGGGATGGCCATTTCCGAATACTAAACTATTCCGAATACATTCTAAAATAATGTTTTCGAATCTGGAATTCCGAATACATTCTAAAATCGAAAATAACACATTTTTGTTGTAGTTTATTAAAACCCAGTAAATTAGGAAATAAGCTTCAATAGAAATATCCGAATAAAGCCACAAACCAACAGTATATGTACACAAAGTAATTGATAGTTTATAGCTATCAATAAAAAATAATAGCAACTTGTGACACAGTAAGTTTATTAAAATTATTCACTTTGTACAAATGACCATATGAAAAGTTAGCCAAGGAGTTGTCTGACGCTTTCTATCACTGGTACCAAGATATAACGATAATAGTCAAGTCTATTGACAAAAATACTACTTGTATTCAGATAATTGTGTATATTTTCTGTGAATAATCAAATTTATTGGCAATACAGGCAACTGAAACAAGCAACAACAATCGAAAATCCATTATGCCTTTAAAATTTCTAATATTTAAGCTTAGAGTATTCTACTACCCACCAGTATATTTGTATATTAATTTATGTGAACCATATTGTTAATATGTGTAACATATGTTGTGTTTGAAATTAGAAATAAATTAATAGAGAATAGATGACCACCACTGCCAGCCGCGCAGCCAGGATTTTCGAAATCGGAAATTCCCATCGCCGCCTGTAACACCCACCGCGATTCCGCGCTCGTTAAAAGAGCCGTCTTTTCAGCGTATAATGATCATCCTGTTACATAACATATTCAATCCATGACAACTACGAGATTCTAAAATATCTTTATATATTAATTTAATGCGTCCAACGTAACTCGCGGTTGCTCCTTCTTACGTCAAAAAAAAACATTATTATTCGGTCCACAGCGATCTGTGACCTAAAAGTACGAGATAAACCGCCTGATGTATTTAATTTTAATACGTATTTTTGCAATCTTGCCAACTCGGTATTGCCGTTAGAAAAATCTCAAATAATGATATAAAATCCTGTTAAGTGTAGTGTATAATTCATTTCATACAATGAATATACATATAAAGCTTAGCAGTAAATTAAAAATACATTTTCATCGCCGCGATTATACCACCTGTAAAAGAGTCGACTTTTACAACAAATGATATAACAACGAATATATATTTTTCTGTTGTGCAAAGTGATGAATTCGTGACCGATACGGGCATATTTAAACTGTCTTACTTTATTAATTTAATTGTCTTCAATTTAACTTGCGGTTGCGTCGACAAAATAAAATCCTCACCACTCTCATATACCATTGCAATCCGCGATCATAAGAATAAAAACGTGTGGTAAACTGCCCGATTAAATGATGTTCAGATCCGTATTTTGCCAATTCGGCAAATATTTAGATGTAGGCCTACTTGTTAACAGTGACTCCGCTCAATCGAAATGCTGACACTCTGATTATTTTCAGATAAAACCGTTCGAAAAATCCATAAATCTGCTGTAACATCTCAGAGTAAAATTTATTTCATCACAATAAAATTGATTGAATATACTTTAGATTAATTATATTATATACATCCTCACAACCCGGGAAAAAGTCGCGTTTCAAACCTTGTATAATGTTAACACGAAAATATTCGACGGCAATTTAAAGTAATGAATAATCAGGCAAATCCCGCTCTCAATTCGTGACGATATGTTTCTAAACGCCCGACCAAACATAATGTGTACGGTAGGCCCACGAAATTTTGCGATTTTCACTGCCTAGAAAAGCGTTTTATAAATTTTCGCGGGCCTCAATAAAACTTATATTGTTTGCGGTTTTATTTTCAGTTTTTTAAATTGCCGCTTTTCAATCGAAAAGTTGCGTTGTCTTTAGAAACTCGCCGCCATGAACGTATTTACCAGATTCACAATTCCGTGCGCGTACAAAAATTAAATAATTGTCGTCGTTATCGTGAACAAATTTGTGGAAAATTTTCGTTTTAGAGAAAATAATACAAACGTAAAGGCGTTTACGGCCTAAATAACACCTTATGCTGATGAGTGATGAAAACAATCACGCGCAAGTTTCTATCGAGAATGTTTTCATTCAACGGAAACGTCTTGGAAGCGGCGTCGAAAATGTGTGACGTCACACAAATATTCGATATTCTTATGAACGCTAATTCCGATATTCGAATGACGAGATATTCGAATACATTCGAATACTTTATTCGAATTGGCCATCCCTGCTGGTATATTAATTAAAACATTACCTGTTGAATTTTGTTCTCAATTTTCTGCTCTCTGAAGTGTTCCCTTATTTTTTCTTTGTGAATATTTTTCATCGCTTCATTGTGTTCCTGAAGAGTCATTGTTTGACAGTGAACATGTTGCAGTCCCATTCCTGGAAAATAAAAAAATATGTCTCAATACAGTAAGACATTCGTTCCGAAAGCCTCTTTGTATGTAGAAAATTCCGTCCGTGGAAAGGAGAGTGGGAGGACAGCAGTCAGAGGGGCAAAAGTTGAGGAGAGAGATGTAATGTACGAAAATGAGCACATGCACAGTAAATTCAAAATTATAATTTACTCTTTTTTTACTTTTCTGCTTTTCTTTTATTTATTTTGTTTAGCTTGTCCATTTTTTATTTTTTTGTTTTGCTGTTCTATTTTTATTCATTTCATTATCTTTGTTTTAACTGTCACACGTATTATCATCTTCTCAATGAATTTCACTAGCAAAACTGAAACTGAGCGATCTGCCCTTCCACTTAAACCGTCAATGCAGGCCGGTGTTAAATATGTGAGATTGCAAATATATAGTTTTGAATAACACTCACCCAAGGTCGAACCCCCCTGACTTGGTACTGTGATAAAACTTTGTTTCCTTGGAAAATAATACACAGTGACATCTTGAAATCCAACTTTCTTGTCAATTTTCCTTTTCTTAACCCTAGAATTCTGTTCGGCAATCTGAGATTCTGAAACAAATTTATTAGTTTGTTAACTTAAAAAGGCGGGGCAAATTGGCAATATTCCCAAAGGCTACCAAGGCTACCAGGCAAATCAATATTTGGTAGTTTCAAAATTTTTTAAGTCAACAATTTTTTATTTGAATGTTTCTGTCTATTTGATATCTTCGGATACCAAAAAGTATGCTACATGTAGGGATTGGCAAAATAGGATACCCAATCCGGAGGATTCGAATCCTAAAGTATTCAAATCGAAAAGGATCCGATAATAGGATCCGGTTTCCGCCTCTTCGGCGCTGTGCGTAAATTTTTGTGTTTCGATTTCTAATTTTTCAATAATCAGTGACATAAGCGTTTTCCCTCGCGACGAAATCTTTCTTGTTTGATTATCGTTGTGTTTTCTCACGAAGAATTCACAAAAGCAGCAGACATCAAACACTGAATGCCAGCTTGCATATTAAGAACGCGAAGACGGCGTTATTGCACCATTTTTGCGTATTACAATTTTACAATCTAGTTTGCTTATAATAATGATTACTATTGGTGCCGAGTCCGACTTACTGGCGCTTTTCGAGTACCCGATGGTTCCAACTTAAATGTTTGGAATATGTGAAATATTCTTTCATTTTAAATCAAATGGCTTTCCGCGGCCTTGGATTTCTCCCGGTAAATGATATGTACCAGACATTAGATAGACCTATAAAACATTAATTATGATTAATTTGGATCAAATTTTATTTTTACGACACCCCATTTCCGAAAATACAAAGTTATATCGCAAAACAAGGCGTTTTGTAACATTCATTTTGCACTACCAATAAAATACATACCATACTTTACAAAATTAAAGTCGACGATGAATCCTTTCCTATCGCCCAGGCTGGACACACGTTTGGTTGAATGTCGGGCGGTATGTTAGTTGACAATAAATAGGAAAAGTTGTCGCTTGTGGTGAAGACAGTTTTCCTATCCGGCCTTATCTATTGATAGACATTTTGCAAAGCGTATCGCCAAGTCAGGCTATATATAACGATAATAACTGAAAATTACGATTTTGCAATAGAAATAATTTGTCTATCAATGTTAGTTTACAAGTCTTGCTTGCAGAAAATAAACAGGCTGACATACTTGATTATAATCGATAGTCGTTAAATTTATTTTGCGCTTTTAATTAATGCGCCATCGGAACGGCGGCACCCATTGCGACCACATAAATTGCAGCGGCCTCGGTTTGGCCTGTGTGTTTTCGCCGCTCTCAGATTAATAATAATTTGATGTTTTTTCATATTGTAATTTCACAATTTATTATCAAGGCGGATAATGCGCTATTAATTTTAACATATTAAGTATTTAGGGATCACATAAACTTTGATCTATTCAAGGCACAGGATCTATTCAAGGCACAAAGTAATTTGTTAAAATTCTTATGTTCCATTGTCCTGTTTGGTAACAAATAAAATCCAATCAATTTTGCTTTTTTTTAATTGTAATCCATGAATAAGGTGGAAGAATTCCCACATTTGAATAATAATAAAATTAAAATAGGATTCGGTATTCTGGATTCGATTTAAGTATTCTAGAATAGTAAATTATTCTACATTGCCCATCCCTAGCTACATGCAATCAATAAGATATCTGGATTAGCGACTAAATTCTCTACACCAATCTAAACAATACCAGGCCAGGTAAAGAACATCTTAGTGATTTTATGACGGTTGGAGGCGATTTTATTGCAATTGTTTATATTCTTATAGCCTTCAGTTATTGCTTGGAAATTTTCAGAACGAGATACACATCATACCATCCAAGTCATGTTTACGCTTCTTTGGTCTTGCTGAATCAGTGTTGGAAGTTGTAGTCAAGCAATCACAGAATTCGTCAGCCCCGAGGTTGGCTGAACTTGAATTCTGAGTACCTGTTAGCGATGTAAAAAAAGTTGATACAAAGAGAGAAATTGAGAATAAAATAGCAGAATCAGCTGTACCAAGGAAAGGCATAGCCAATTCTGTTCAGTCATACTTGCTCCATTCCTGATACAGAAATCAGAATATGATAGTTGACTGGAGCCCTTAATACAATATGGTACAATTTAACAAGTCTTGACTGTGACTATCTCATCTTAAGTAGGTCTACAAGTAGCTCATGAAAAGTCAGTCATCGTTTGTGACTGCGTATTGATGATATATTTTCAGATAGGTTCATAGTATTCATACGCCTTATTAAATGAAAGACTAATATTCAAAAAAATTGATATCATAAAATCATTATTACCATGAACATGGGATGACTGTTTATCCATAGTAGGTGGCGAAAGTGTATTTTCTTCTTCGCTATTTGGGTAAGTAGAATCGACCGATCCCAGTCCCGAATCCATAGAAGACTCTTCAGAAGCAATAACAAAGATATCATCTTCATCATCATCTTTCTCAAGTGATTTAAAAGTTGCTGGAAAACTATTCATGTCTCTCGATGAGGCATCTAGAGAATCATCACATTCGAGTTCACGATTCCTGCTGAAACATGATGATACCGAAGTTGAAGTTTGTTCCGGAAAAGGTTCAAAATGAGCTTCACCGAGAGCGATGGAATCTTCTGATATCATAAAAGATGGCTCAGTACATTCAGTTTCTGTTTTATCAGAGTTGATATCATTAACAAGGATTGAATCTGATGACGTGAGGTCGTCAGGAAGAAGCTCAAGGCTGAGAGGCATTTCTGTAAAAGAGCTCTGCTTATTTTCTTCTACTGGTTCAGAACATATACTGATAGCAATACTGGAAGTTTCAGTTTGAAGAGTTTCATTCAAAGATATTTTTGCAATGGTTTCCTGATTTCCGGTACAGTACCCATCATTATTTAAACTCATAATTATTATCAAAAAATCATAGACTGCTGTAAATTTCTCTTATATCAGTACCGGTATATATTTAAGTCGAAAGATCTGCAAAAAAATAAGGACATGCTGTTTATATTATTTTGTAAATACTTTTGAGGCATACATAAATCAAGAAGAGTTAACCAATTAAATCACAATGTCTAATTTGAAGACCCACCTGTTTTATAACCGTAAAAGCACCTAACTTCAGACAAAATCACCATATTTTCATCGATAACACGACTATTTATTGTCCAAACAACGTCAAAATTGCTCGGTAGAACATGTGTGAGGTAATTTACATTCCCTGCAAATTTCGGGTCAATTGGGCTATTTTTACCAGAATAATAATATTTTTTTTGCCATCTGACCGTTATCCTTCACTGCCCTAACTTCAGACAGTCATTTTCCACACTGTGTAACTGCGACACACAGGGAGAAAGAGGCTTACGATGCGAGTGACGTAATTACGATGCGAGTGACGTAATCACGTCGCTGCGTGAAACTGAAAATCCATACAAATATAAGAGATAAAGAGATGAAACTTGGCGGGTGGGTAGAGTTGTGTTTCTTTTAACCATCTTTAAAGTTTCGCATTTCTACATTTAAAGGAGGGGGAAAAGGGGGGTGCCAATTTCCAATACGTCGATAATATCATTGTCGACCAATTTTTGACCACCGTGTTTTTGTCTGTTCGATTGCTGTGATGTGGTGCTTTGTTTATATTTTGACGAATTTTGTTTGAAATAACTGTGTTCTTAAAGTATATGACGGTCAAAAACGCAATTAGAATCCCATTTTTTCCACGTATGGCTGCGTATGCCCTAGTCTCGACGCAGCAGAAACGATGTTCAAGGCTTGAAATCCGTGGCCGCACACTGGTCGTTCGGTCGCAAATACGTCTTCAGAGTGTCGTACTCTGGTGGTTTGTATAGCTTTAACCCCTGGTTGTAGAAAGTTAATTCGAGGTTTAGCGTGTAGAATAAATGCCAATGCACCTACGGTGAAAAAATTCTACCAGTAGTCAAGTATAAAGGTATAGCCTACGGTACTGATCTATGGCTTTGTGGAGTGTATTTTGAAAAAACAATACCGGTACAGCTAAGCATAATGAATACCGGTACCGGTACGACGGTACCATATTCAGATATTCCTCCTTATTCATTTTTAAAAAAAAATAGAAATGGTTGAACTTATCTAGATAGAACTCCTTTCAACAACAGTACCTTAAACCATAGTTTATCCTAAAGTTAGTTTTTTTTTAGGTGAAGGCAGTAAAGCAGTGAGAAACACTGAAGATCGGAAGATGATGTACGGTATTGATACAATCAACTGCCGGCACAGAACTAATGGGTCGCAATTTAAGCTAGTGACAAAATTAAACAACGATACATTTACTTGTAAATAACTTGGTCGCTACTTATGAAAACAAGCCGCACTAGTGAAAAAACGAGAAATCTCCCCAGCTTGCCAGCGCAGAAAGCAACAAAAGACCAACCAGATTATATCAGAAAATCAAGAACGCTTCGCGTCATGAACACTAGTGGCGCAATTGACGTTTTTCGGCCCTTGACCCCTAAAAAATCTGTGAATATTGATAAAGTATTCGTTCCATTATTCTTTTTTACCAAAACCCTTCCATTGGACGTCCATAGGAAAGCATATCCACACCGTTTTTTAGCACTTTCGCTTGGTAAAAAAGATTTTCATTTTTGTATGTTCAATTTTCTACCATGAAGGCTTTCGATAAATTTGACACGGATGTAATATTCCGAGCTGTTCGAATGAGATGACGATTCTTGAGGATTTTATTTCTAATTTTCCTTTTGTAAACTTGGCAATTATAGGCTTATAGTTGTTTGAGTTCTGAGACGGGAAACGATGGGTGACAGATATATCGGATGGCCCAACGACTAACATACCGTGGGATGGCCTGATAGCAACATGGATCATTTTCCCCTCTCCATTACCAGTTTGTCTGTATCCTCGATTGAGGTAGAGGGGCTAGGCCGTGCATTCAATATTGTCCACAATGTCTAGTCTTGAACGCCTTTCTTGTTCCTCTACTTTTTTGATAGTATAGTACAATTCTTCATCAAGCTCTTAAACTTGGTCTTTCAGTTCACGAATTCTTTTGCAGCATTTTGTGAGGCTTTCTTCCATAGATTTTTGTTTGGCAGAAATCGCATCACACATGTCTGATTGGAAGGATTAAGACTCTTTAATTACAGAAATATATTGTTTTATTACCTTCATGGACTGTATTTGTTTCTCCATGCATTCCTTGAGACCGGGGCTCAAGGGAAGGTCCAATTCTAAGAGGTATTATTGGTCTTTTACAGTTAATTAGGTAGATAGGTTGTTGTGTTGATGGGTATTTGTCTGTTTGTCTGTCTGTCTGTTTGTATGTTTGTCTGTTTGTCTGTTAGATGAACGCGATATCTCACAAACGCGTGGTTAAATCTGCTCCAAATTTTGCATGTGCATGCATCTTATCTCGGACCAGAAGCCTATAGATTTTGGGTTAATTATGTCGTATAATTAGCGAGTTATTAACTAATTACCGATCTAAGATCGATAAGTCTTCGGTCTCCGACCGATATTCTCGTTTTCTATCAGCGGTTCCCAAACTATGGGTCGCGACCCACTGGTGGGTTGCAAAAGGAAACTTAGTGGGTCGCGAAAAGATGTAGAAAGCTTTGATCAATTACTTATCGATCTTGATCGGTAAGTATGTTGATAGGTATTTGTCTCTTTGTGTGTTTGTCTGTTAAATACACTCGATATCTCACGGAAGCAAGATTGAATCCGCTCCAATTATTGCATGTGCATTCATCATATCTCGGATCAGAAGCCTATAAATTTTGGATGAATTATGTCGTATAATTAGCGAGTTATTGATTAATTAGTGATGGGACACGCGATGTCGCTATGGAGTAAGAGGGCATGAATCGAAACCGCAGTTTCTGTTTTGGGGGATCTCCTAACGATTGATAAGTCTTCGGTCTTCGAAAGTTTCTTTTTTACGATCTTCTCAAAGGAACAAAAATTTGCCACACAAAGAATGACCATGTGGTTTTTTTTACGTATAGCAGTTTTGTACACTGTACAGCACTCCTTACCGTGTTTCCCCGAAATTTAGACAGGATTTAGATTTAATTTCTTTTGAAGAATAACACTATGGGCTTTTCTTTGAAAGAGGTCTTTTGTGTTCATTTATCGAAAATAAAATTACATTGTAGAAAATCACGAGATTTTTTAATAAACATTATATAAAAACCGACATCTATTGTTTTTTGATTATTTGGTTTCTGCGAGACTAATTACTTCTCCTTTTTCTATGCTTTTGTGCCGGTGGATCCGTATGCATATATTGCAAGGATGCTGTAGCAAGAGTAGAGATAACAATCCTAAGTGATTCAAGAGTCTTGCTGCACACTAAAACAAATAAATTTCTGTATTGCTTTTTCCACTTTCGATTTGGTTTTAAATGATACTCTTCTGTGTTGTTGATGTACTGGATCCACAGATTTATCGATGTTCAGCTTCAATTGATATCCTTTGAGTTTTCCTACACCATGAAATATACTATAATACTCAGTTGCTAGCCATCATTTGACTTCACATTTGCAGCAAATTCGCCAATTAACTGAAGTGGTTTTTCACTACCATAATCAAATAACTTTGTATCAGCAGGACATAAACTACAACATTTGGAAGTATTCCTCCGTATTTCTTGATACGCTTTGTTGTCTAGGACAGGGGTTCTCAAACTTTTGGTGTTGCGGAGCCCTTGAAAAGTTGACTATCATTCCCGGAGCCCCAAAATAAATGTTAGAATTGGTACTTTCCGATTAATATTCCTGAGTAAGTTAAAAATACTTTACCTAACTTAAATGCAGAACTTTTTTAATAGGGTTATCACAAGTCATAATTTAATAATTTAAATATACAAAACGCTGTAAATTTGACACTTGACAAACATATTAATAAATTAGAAGTCGAATCGTTTCCCTTTTGACATTTTCGGAAGACTTGAAAGGCCACTAATAATGTGCATGATAATTTTTTCATATTTTTCCTTTTTTTCTTTTTCTTGGTCTATATATATCCACTTGTGTTTTTTTCATATCAAGCCTGATGAAGTTTTCCTGTATAGAAATTCGAAACGTTGGCAAATTACATCGTTTTGCTAACACCGGTTGTGCTTCATTTATTATCAACATGACTTTACCTGGTGGCAATCATGCATTATGTTATACTCACGTCAGATTAAAAAAGGCTTTTATAGGCATTGTAAATCACAAAATTTGATGTTTTGTTAGTTTTTTTTTGGTTATTCATCGTAGTAACTGCGATGTCGAAACACAGTCAATTGTGCGCACGGTGTACCTTTTTTCCATTCTGAAACTACCAACGGAGCCGCATGCAATAAAATAAATTTCCATCATTCGTATTCTGCCCAGATCTTGTAATTTTTCAAACGGCGATCTTATCTTGCTTAAAAATAATCTCGAGTGCGAAGGAACAAATAAAGTTTGACAAATCGCAAAAATACGACATATTTACGAAATATTTATAGTTGACACTTTATCACGTATTTTATGTTATTTCAGAATAGTATTCTTTCTTTTTAGCAATCCTAATAGTAATCTGGAATCAAACGTGAGTAACGATGAGCACAATTAAATTATTACGACAAGACACTTTAAATACTCGCATCGGTCATGTATTGAATATTTTACGCAATAGAAATCTCGTTATCCGTTTTTTTTTAATTGCTAATGATGTTGCACGGAAATTTCCGATTTCAATTTTGAATCCTTTTAAAAATCTTGCCTGCGCTCCAGCTCATAAATAACGTCATTTTTTAATTCCGCCTCTTTTCCATATTTCAGGGCTATATTATTGTCAAATTTTATCAAAGCTGTTATTGCTTCTTTGCACAGTTACAAAATTAGCCAAGTCCGTATTTTGAAAAGTAATCGAATAGTTCGCGGAGCCCTGGGGCTCCGTACGGAGCACTTTGAGAACCTATGGTCTAGGTCTAGGATATTAACACTAGAATCACTGTCAACA